GAGGGGCTGGATGGAAGGAGAAGCCAGGGCCTGTCCCTTCTCTCTGGGTGGAGCTCCAGCAGGACTCCTTCCTCTCCGTGGTCTGGCACCTGCTGCAAAGCCCATCCCTTCAAGGTCCCTGCCCTGGCGATCAGCCATGGCCACGGCACCACCTGCCACCAAAGGCCCCAGATCCTGATCTCCAATAAAGCCACTTCCTCTCTTGGTCTCGCCAGTCCTAGGAGTGTTCACAGCTTCCTGCATTGCTAATTGGCACAGGCCATGCTGCTCATGCTGTTTGACAAAGTCCAGGCAAGAGGAGGAATCCTGAAAGCCAGGAAACCTCATAGCTGGCCCCTGCTAGTTCCTGTACTTATTTTTGCAGTTATGCTGTTGGTAATTGGACTCATATATTGGAACTCATGTGTATCTAAAACGAATTCATCTCTATTAATCAACATCACCTGAACCTTTGATGGGAACTGGAATCCAAACAGTAGTTCCGTGAATACGAGCAGTGGTCCGGGACCAACCGTCCCCGGCATGCTGCCACAAGCAGTTAACTCAGAACAAACCAAGCTGTTTCAAGAATTAGATCCAGCCTGTCCCCCATTCTGAAACAACACAAATATGACGAACAAGGAATTTTTTTACAGAATTGGCTAAGAAGGAGGCATGGGAGCCAGGCCCGTGGAAAAGCCCAGGAGTTTCTATGATATAGCAAAGTGAAACCGAAAAACACCTAATAATCTCTACTGCCCAAGGACCTCCCCGTGTTGATTGTCAAAGTAGTACGCACAGACTCTGTGTCACTGTATGAAAGGATAAAGAGAAGTAATAAACCATACTGCTTACGAACTAGAGAAGAAAGATGCAAAGATCTAAAAATACAGAATGATTATTATGACAGAATAAAATGTTTATATTGTATACAAAAATTGTGAGGACATAGACCTTAAGATCGGATGGGGATGGGTAACATTTGGATGTAAACAGAAACTTCAGAGCATGCAAATGGAAGTTTAATAGTTTTAACCATATAATCATACAGCTTGAACTTTATATATGCATTAAACTCTATATAACCTCACACACTTAAAAGTAGAATCATAGCCCACACAGTGCCACACACCATTTTCCTGCCTAGCACCTAGCAGGTAACCTACATCTTTTGCCAAAAAGTTAAACATTAAATGTTACAAGGAAGCTGTTCAAGGAAGTGATAACATCTGTAATGAGCCAGAATCATGCAAAAACTGACAGGAAAAAACATTGTATCATCCTTGAGCAAAGAAAATGTTTAACATTATGTAAAGACCTAAAAGATATAAAAATAAAGACCCTGCCACTTGATGTCAGGAGACGCTTCAACCCTGATGTGGTGTCTCGTCTCCTCATTTGCCGCCGCTGTCCTTTCCTTCGTGACCCATACCTCAGCTGGAGCTGGACTCCAGCAGCTAATTTCTGAGTTGCCTCATTTTATCCTTTTGGCTTCTCTGCTCTCTAATCACCTGGGTAACCAACAAAAGCTCTCTGTTCAAACACCCAGAGTGGTTTCTCTTTTCCTAACTGGGATTGTCTGTAACACACCCTAGGGAATGTCTCTCCTGTGGCCAGGGCTGCCCCCAGAAGGAGCCTCCAGGTGTCCGCGCCTGGGAGAGCCCCCTGGGGGCCAAGCAGAAGTTAGGATGTTTGGCTGCCTTTGGAGCAACCTGTTGAACCATGGCCCAAACCCGAAATGGCCAGGCTGGAGGCTCAGCTTCCCCGGCAGGTGGGAGAAATCAGAGACTCCACAAGCACCCTTCAGTTAGTGGTTCTGTAAGTAGCTGCAGCATTTCATTATTTATACCTGCTTGCAGTAGGGGCTCCTCAAACCTCTCTGTGCTGGGCCCCCATCCAGCCCTGTTGTGACCTGGGCTGGCCTTGGGGACTCCCTGGGAGGTTGTCCCATAACCCCTTAAATCCTGCTACTTTTCCTCAGATTGGCCCCTGGTTCAAGATCTGGAATCCTGAACTCATCTCCCTCCTGCTTCCAGGACCACCCACAGTCACCCTGGGGACAGCCCTCTTGCAAAGCCAGGAGAGAGAGAAGAAAGCCTGCTCATTCCACTGGTGGGCCAAGCACCCCCCAAATCCTGATACTTCTTATGGAGAGCCCCCAGCCTGCCTGCCAGAGACAAGCCCACAGCAGGGAGAGGCCCACTGGACTGAAGGCACAGACATGGAGAGCAAAGGGGAGAAGAGAGTCCTCTCAGAACCAGCATCAGCACCCCCTCCTCATGCAAGAGGAATGAGGCACAAAGAGGTGGGGTGCAGTCCAAGGTAACACAGACAGGTGAGAGGGCCAGGTGGACCAGGACCTCCAGCACACATGTGCTGGATTAAGGTAGAGGGGAGCTGATGTCAAAGTTTGCCCTCTCTGGGTCTGTCCGGCAGACCTGAGAAGAGCCAACCACCCTCATGTAGGGGTCCATCACTGTCCTCCCTCACCTGGGGCACCCACCACATTGGCCCAGGCCTTGGGCTCCCGCCTCACCCCCAACCCTGGCTGCCCTCTCCTGGGGGCACCTGGCCTCTCATCCTGGACCCCTTTCCACATTTTGGCCTGTCTGGCCCTGCTCTGTTCCCCTCTGGCATCAGCCAGCTTCTGAGTTGCAAGCAACAGAAATGGGCAGGGTAATTTGATCAGAGAAGGAATTAATAGAAAAGGTATTGGGGGGCTCACAGACTTACAGGCAGGCTGAAAACCAGACCCCCAAAACAGGCAGAAAACAGGGCAACTGGGGCAGCAGCCCAGACCATGGTCAAGGAAGATGTGGCTGTCCCTGGGGACCCAGAGTCCATGTGACCACTGGCACCATCCATCCCCACCACCTCTACCCCTGCCACCCGGTAATCCACCCCCAAGTCACTGCACTTCTCCCCATGGCTCAGAAATGCAGGGGTATCTCGATCACCACTGTGCATCAGGGCCTTCTCAGGAAAAAGGTGGTCATCGCTGATGTCCCCATCCAGTCCCCGGCCTAGCACCCGTGGCTGCAGAAGGGCAGTTGGTGCCTTGGAAACACACTTTACCCTGTCCCTCCACCATCCGCACTGCTTGGCACTGGGTGGGCTCAGCCTCCAGGAGGCCTCCAGGTGTTTAGTGGAGGCAGATCAGAGCCAAGAAAGGGGCCACTCCAGCACCACCTGTGTTGGGGCTGAGTCCCTGGGGGCCACAGGCCCTCCCCACCCCGGCAGACCCAAACTCTGTGTCTGTCCTCTTGCCCTGTCCCTTGCTGTCCTCAAGGGAAGCCCACCACTGAGAAGGAAGCTGAGCTCCCCTCCTCTACTCCCAGCTTGGCCCATAAAATAGAATTTCTCCTCACTTCTGCCTCCAAAGAGTCACTGTGGGGCAGCACCCACCCAGTTCTTCCCCCGTCATTCCCTTCAAGGCAGGCCAGTAACCACTGTGATTGGCACACTGGTGCTACCATGAGCCACAGACAGCCTCTGCCACCAGACAGGGGCCGCAGGCTGGGGAAGAAGGGACAGTCCCTCCAGCCCCCTCCTTCTTCTTCCAGCCCATGGTCATGGGCAGCAGGACTTGGCCCTCACTCCGGCCCCAGCACATGTCTGTGGTGCAGACCAGACTCCTGGCCAGAGTCCAGATCTGGGAAAAGTTAGGCAAAGAGAAGGGAACCAGGTCTGGTTTCGGAACTTTTAAGGGCCTAACTCCCCTCTCCAGGATCAAACTGTGCTTTTATTCTTTGAACAAAAGAATTACAAGTTTCCTGGAGACAGAAACCATATGCCCCTTGAAATGCAAAGCCCTAAGCTTGCTTCCCTGTGGAAAGCATTGTTCCCTGCATGGGTCTCTGGTGCCGTCCTGGCCTCACTGGTGTTTGGGTGGGGTGGACAGACAAAGTGGGGTTGCCAGGGATCACATCCAGTCCTCTGATCCAGCCCCCATGAGCATCCTGGTCACTTCTTAGAAGCTTCCCTGGGGTAGAAAAAGCAGTAAAGAACAGTTTGTCTTCTCATCCCTGGATTTCACCCATCTAGACCTTGCTCTGTCTCTTTAAAGCCTAAGTAAAGGATTAGTCCTCTTCCTGAAGAGCTGAGGACAAGTGGAAAGACAAAGGATCTCCAAGAACATGGTGATGTCAGCAGTAATGGAGGCAGTGCTTGGGGCCTACTGTGCTTAGGGACAGCGGTCGGAATTCTAAACATTCTTTCTTTCCATTGAGATAGCCTCACCCCTCCCACAGCTCTGCTGCATGACATGCTGTGGGCCTCTTCTGGACCCTTAGGTCTGTTTACTAATCGATTGACATTTAGAGGGTGTAATGGGTTGAATAGTGTCCCCCAAAACTCATGTGACCTTATTCAGAAATAGGGTCTTTGCTGATGTCATTATTAAGGTAGAGCTGGAATCCAACTGAGCTATGGTAGGCCCTAACCCAGTGAAAGTTTCCATGAAAGAGACAGCAAAATGAGGTGGGACAGGGGCATGGGACAAGCATCAGGATTAATTTTGCCTGCCTGTGATGAGAAATGCCAAGATATAAATAGTATAGTAAGAACAGGAGGGACTCCATGCTAAGGCAAAGATTCCATTTTTAAACCCAGGGAGTTAGGAGGTAACATTCCTAACATTTTATGGTAATTAGCTGACAACAGACCCTATCTTAAGGCAGAGCAAGTAATCCCACTGCTTGAGGGTAACCACTATATTGGAGAAGAACAACATCAAGAAATTCCTTGTGTTAAGTTTATCTCACAGAATATCTAGAGAACAGACTATGGATGGTGATACAATGTCTCTCACTGGAGATAGCATCAGGACACCACGTGTCAAGTCTAAACACACACACACACACACACACACACACACACACACACACACACACTGCCCCTGGCCCTTCACCCCATTATTGAAAGTCTTAAAAGATAGGATCTAAGCCTCTGAGTGCACCTCCTCTCTGAGGTCGCCCACATTCCCATCTGAGTGTATACTGTCTTATATCAAATAAACTTACCTGTTGCATAAGCCATTGATTGCACTTGTCTCTGAGCTCTTTTTGATGATAAAGACAAGAACTCTCCAACCTCCACTTCCAGTGGTTAGCATCTTCATTACTTCACTATTTCATTCCATTTTCTAGACATAAGCACAAATCTTCACTCCCTGCTCTACTTCAGACAAGCAGGGAGGGGCTGCTGAGAGCTCTGATTTGGGCTTGCAAGTTCCTGTAGCCTGGGTGACCCGGACAGGACGGCTTGCTCTTTAGTAGCCTGCTTGAAAATCTTTTTTCTTTGCCCCTGGGAAGTTTTCAGAACATAATCTCACTCCATCCAGTGCTCTGTGGCTCCCCAAATCCTGGGGTGGTAGGGACTTAGTTCCACACCATGCAGATTCAAGCAGACGCTGGACACCAGGTGACCCTGGCTTCAGGAGTCGGCAAGGGACCCGCCCTGTGTGGATGAGCTCTCCTTTCCTCCCTGTTCTTCCTTGCTCTCTGCTGCCTGCACAGCTATTGCCATTACTGCCACTCTCGCTTTAATAAATTCCTTCCTTACCTAAACTTGTCTGACCTGTTCCAGAATTCTTTCTCAATCAGTCACAAAACCCTCCCCACCCAGGTTGAGGTTTCACCTAGTGGGCAGAGAGAGACCTCCCTAGACGTGGCTGCCTGAAAACAAAAGGACGCAGAGTCACAGGGAAGAAGGCTGCGTGAAGACAGGGGCAGAGCTTGGAATGCAGTGTCTCCAGCAGCAAGGAGCCAGCAGCTAGAAGGAGCAAGTGAGCAAGAATCCTCTTCAGAGGGAGGACTGTGGCCCGGCTGACAACTTGGTATTGGACTTCTGGCCTGTAGAACAGGGAGAGGGTAAGCTTGTTTTGACCCACCCTGTTTGTGGTGCTAATACAGAAAGTAAACCAAGTGAGGCCCTGATGCCCACCCTGCTCAGCCCAGCCAAAGGGACTAAACTGCACTGCATGAAGCCCGGGCTGCCTGCATGCTCACAGCTGTGCCACCCTGGGCCCAGGCTTCTGCTGTACCCACAGTGTTGAAAGAGTCCACTTGTGAAGGGGACATCCCTTCCAGCCTGCTCCTGATTTGGGCATGCCCCTGTTTCTGCCCTGCATCCCTTCCAACATGCAGCCCTGTAGTTAGGCCTTCTCTTGAGAATGAGCCCCTCCTGGGGGATAGTGAATCAGAATCTCCACCTCACACACACACACACACACACCGATTCACACACACACATATATAAATACACAGACACACACATTCATACATTACACATATTCACTCACAGTCATATACAGTCGGACACACGCACACTAATACACAAATTCACACACATACAGTCATATGCACCCATTCAAACACACATGTACTCAGACTCACAAAACACAAGTACATACTTACTCATCCACAGGTACACACTCACACTTGCACATACCCGTCCACACCAGCAGAGACACACATTCACACCTGCACACACAATTCTTATAAGCACCTGGCCCACCATGTCTAAGTCTCCAAACTTTGCTCAACTTCTCCCAGTGGGGATCCATAGTGACCCATCTTCCCCATGTATTTAGATGCCCCACCAGATACTTCTCTGCAGCCAAACAGCCCCAAATGGGGGATCTTCAGACTCTCATTGCCCAGTGCGTCTCTGCATTGTGCCACCTGCCCCCATGAGGACTCAGGACATCCCCAAGCCCTTCCTCCAGCTCTTCGTGGACTAAGGCCCTGGCACTGTTCAAATCCCTGAACTCATCATCCACTGTTTCCCCACAGCAAACCCACTGCACCTGGCCTGTCCCAAGAGACCCTAAGGAGGGAACTAGGATGTCTGCCACCAGCATCCTTTCTCTATCCAGAAACAACTCCAAGTTCTCCACAAACAGAATACTTCTTAAAGCAAGGCTAAAAATTACTTTCCAGTCCTTCATGAAGCCTTTAGACTTCCTTGGTTTAATGGATTTATGTGAAAATCTAGTCCTCCAAATCTGTGCATCCTCCTATAAATAGTAATTCCCACCTCAGTGTGTTTTCCACAGTGTCACCCCTTTGACACTAGCGGTATTCTGAGCTTCATGAATTCCTTTAGTAACATGACATTCAACAGTTAGTGGTTATGTGTGGCACCCACCACCAGGCCTGATACAAAATAAGCTCTGGAAAGATATTTCTCAGTTGCAAAAAATGAAATGAGTTATGGTGTTCTCTTGACTCAGTGGTTACTACAACACAATTCTGACATGAACCACATGGAGCTGGCACAGATTCCACAGGTTTAAGGGCACAGTCCACAATAAGATCACTCCCACTTCAGACCCCAGCCACCTCTCTGGGCTCCCTGGGCCACCTGCAATTCTGTCCAACTGGCCACAAATATGGGGCACTTTCAGGACCCTCATCAGGTTTAATAATTTGCTAGGATAACTCACAGAGCTCAGGTAAGTGTTATACTTCCAGGGACAGTTTTAGTATGAAGGATACAGATTAGGGTCAGCCAAATGAAGAGACACATAGGGTGAAGTTTGGGAGGGTCTTGAATACACAGCTTCAAGGCCCTCTCCCCATGGAATCTGTGTATGTCACCCTCTAGTACATCTGTGTTCACCAGCCCAGAAGCTCCACCAACTCTCGGGGTCTGGTATGAACCTACTTCCTGTTGTGTGGAGGACCATCTTTTCACTGTGTCCTCAGTGGCCCAAGAGGGGCTCTCTGGGGTCTCTTTTACAATGGGGCATTCAGGAGGGCTTCACCCTCATCATCTAATCACTTCCGGAAGGCCCCACCTCTTAACACCATCACACTGGGGATCAGGACCTCAACAGAGAAATTGGAGGGCAGGGTGAGTGGGGAATGACACACAGAAAGTGGGACCATGGCAGGTTGATATCACCTGGCTCAAGGCCCCAAGCCACCAAACTCATGGTCGGTCTGTCTGGCACGGCCAGCAGCCATCCTGAGTCATTTCAGTACCATAACTCAGGTGTCAGCCAAAGAGCCCTCCTTGAATAACAGACTCTCCTATCAACTCAGGAAATGCCAAAGATTTAGAAGCTTCCTCCCAAGAACTGGAGGCAAAGCCTGGTCAAATTTTTATTATATATTAGCTTAGAACTTGAGGGATTATTTGAATAAGAGCAGCTGGACTGTTGTGCAACTGAATGCCAACACCTGAATTTGAAGATCACTCTCTAAATGCAACCAGAGTTAATCCTAACGCCCCATGTGGCTTTGCCTTCAAAGAAATGTACCCCCATTTGATAAGAACTACCAAATGATATTCTTATCTTATGGATCTCAAAGAACATTACACGTTGATGCTTCTTCATGTATCTTTTCCTGTCTTTTTGCACTTTGAATCCCTCAGCTCCACCAGGAACTCTGCCCCAACCTGGGTCTCAATGTGTCCTCTCCTCCCCCAGGTAATAAGCAGAGTCACCAAAGACCATGCCTGCAATTTCCTGAGTGAACAGAAGGAACTTCCCAAGCTGATGGCCAGTTTTATGGGTTGATTTGAGTGGCCCTGGGGTGCCCAGTGTAGACATCACTTCTGGGTATATCTGGGAGGGTGTTTCTGGATGAAATTAGCATTTGAATCAGTGGGTTCCATAAAGTAGATGGTCCTTCCAGTGTGGGTGGGCCTCATCCAATCCACGAGGGCCTGCATAGAACAAAAGGCAGAGGAAGGAGGAATCCACCTCTTTTTTCCTGCCTCACTGCTTGAGCTGAGACCATCTCACCTCATCTTCTTCTACACCACCCGCTTCCCTGGGCCTCCAGCATGCAAATGGCAAATCATGGGACTTCTCAGCTTCCATAATTGCACGAACCAATTCCTTGTAATAAATAGATCGATCTATATAATTTTACACATCTCCTGTCAGTTCTGTTTCTCTGGAGAACCCTGGCTAATCGACAAGTCTAACCCAGATTTAAGACTATATTTGGTCCTGTCTCCCCCAACACCCTACAGTATACCCAGTTGATCACGGCAATTCGTGCTTGCACAGTGATCTGGAATGGGAGTCAAGTGAGATACATCACCTCATTTAGTGTGAACTTTACACTGCTCTAGATGGTCCATAATGCGAATGCTACTTTCTTCCTCTGTTACAGAGGAAAAAATTGCAGCTCAATGTAGCTGTGACCTGCCCAAAGCCCACCTCCAGCCTGGGTCTTCTGGTGCTGACCCCAGGACATTTGCAGAACGCCATACTGAAACTTCCTGTGTTAAGCCGTGATCCAGAATCATCACAGGATCCTCAATTATTCAAATAAAGGTACAACCATATTTATTCTATTGCATTACCAAAATGGCATTTTAGAGGATTTTCTTCAGTATGAATTGAAAGTTTGAGCCCAATGGGCTTCTGATGAGCAATCAGATGATAAGAACCTGACACCCCGTCCTCCCTCACCCATACCCCGATTCTGTGAGCCCCCTGGATTTCAGGAGTAATTAGTTTGAATTCCCATTTCTAACCAGCTCTGTTTCCTCAATTCTAAGCAATCCAGGAGGCCAATACATGGAATGAATAGGATAACCTATGTGTCTGCCTGGCTTGATCATGAATTGCAGTCCTCAGATGGGAGAAGATGCTTCCAGACATTCCTGGTGGTTCTTCTCCACAACGTACCTCACCTGAAAACAGATGCAGGGAAGGGCACCCCTTCCTGCCCAGATTCTTCCTCCCAGAGGCTCCCAGCACATTTTTTACAACACTTTTTTGCCTTTGAAAGGGGTCAACACACAGCTCCTGTTTGGGAACCATGGTATAGAGGAAGTACAGCAAATTCAAATCAAATCTCCACAACTCACAGGGTACTCTTGGGAATGTTGGACTTGCTGAGCTTTTTCTCTGCCCACAAATTGCGGGTAAGGGGGACTTCCCTTGTTCAAGCCCACTCCACAGGCTGCTGTGAGAATCCCAAGTGTTGACACAGTAAAGGGCCACAGTGCAATAGGACCTCTGGGTGCCCTTCCTCCCTCTTTCTTTTCCTCAAGAAGTCTCCCTTGGGGTGGATTCCATGATCCCCAGATGCCAGCTTGCAGTGCCCCTACCAGCCCTAGAAGCATGGGTCCAGCGGGGTGAGGGCCTGGCCCTCCACTGAGCCAGCCTCAGCTTGGGCCAAGCCTGGCAGAGAGACACTCCCCCAGCTTGCTCATCTTCTGTCTGTGGTGGCAGAGGGAGCTTGTGAAAGGGCCCCTGATCACTCAGGTTTCCAGTGGTCTTATGAGCCACGCTGTTATGCTTAATGCCCTGCCCAACAGC